AACCTAGGCATCAAGCACTCCCCCACCCCCCTGTATGCACTGCCCCCACCTTACACGCTGCAGCCTATAACCTAGGCATCAAGCACTCGCTCCCCCTCCTGTATGCACTGCCCCCACCTTACACGCTGCAGCCTATAACCTAGGCATCAAGCACTCCCCCCCCCCTGTATGCACTGCCCCCACCTTACACGCTGCAGCCTATAACCTAGGCATCAAGCACTCCCCCACCCCCCTGTATGCACTGCCCCCACCTTACACGTCACAGCCTCCAACCCAGGCATAGAGCCTTCCCCCACAGCCCCTCTCCCTGCATGCACCCTGACCTTGCTTTTATCTCTATCCGCACCCTGGTCTTGCCTCACTCTCCCTCTATCTGCACCCTCTCCTTGCCTCTCTCTCTCTCTCTACATGTACCCATGCTTTGATATCTGCTGCAGGTTGCATTCATGAACCGCGTACTCAACGCGACGGCGCAGCGAAAGTCGGACCAGGCTGCTCCTGAGATCACGCTCGACCCTCTAGAGGTCATCGGTGGTACGTGTAATTAATATACGTGGTTTAATGATTCAATAATATAACTGTTTTCTCAATGGTACCCCATAGTTTTACACTCGGTTGCAAGCTGACGTATAAGAAAGCATAGCTGCAGTCTGCTCTCACACGTTCAGACAAAAGTGTACTGTAGTGAGAGGCCATTGTCAGAAACATAAATAGTCGTGACTTCCTAAACATCACAAAAAATATAAATATAAGTATAAAATGTTATTTTACGTGACACTTCACTTCAAGGTTTATGACAGGTTAGACTTGATGTGATGTCATAACTACTTATGCTGTTTCTAGCAACGTCCCCCGTATGGTCAGTAGTGGTCATCTAGTCTGGTGGTGTTGACTGGTCAAGAGTCGAGTTAGAATAACTATATCAGGCGCGATCCCTCAAAGTTTGACGTGCGCATTCGAGTCACACGCTGCTCTTGTATTTCAGCGGAGGTCGGCGAGGTGAAGAACACGCAGTTTGATGCGAATGCTCTTGTGTTTCAGCGGAGGTCGGCGAGGTGACGTGCACGCAGTTGGACGCGAATGCGCTTGTCTTTCACCGGAGGTCGGCGAGGTGACGGGCGCGCAGTTTGACACGAATGCTCTTGTGTTTCAGCGGAGGTCAGCGAGGTGACGGGCACACAGTTTGCGCAGGCTATGCGACAGCTGGGATCGGTGCCTTCCAGCCAGCTGTGTGTGAGGCTGGCCAGCGGGGGAGACCCGGTGTACGCGTTCAACGTACGCTACACGGGCGAGGAGGTGCACGGAACCAGTACGTACACGTGCGTGTGTGTGTGTCACTGTGTGTGTGCGTGTGTGCGCGCGTGTGTGTGTGTGTGTGTGCGTGCGTGCCTGCCGCGACTCCCGCAACAACTAACGCTCGGCGGCTCTCTCTCTCTCTCTCTTTCTTGGATGACCTCCCCTCTCCTCCCCCCTCCCCTGCGACTCCCGCAACAACTAACGCTCGGCGGCTCTCTCTCTCTCTCTCTCTCTCTCTCTCTCTCTCTCTCTCTCTCTTGGATGACCTCCCCTCTCCTCCCCTCTCCCCTGCGACTCCCGCAACAACTAACGCTCGGCGACTTTCTCTCTTGGCGTGGTGCAGGCGGTTCGTTCCGGCACTTCCTCAGCCAGGTAACGCGAGAGCTGCACAGCCCGCTGCTGTCGCTGCTGCTGCCGTGCCCCAGCGGCGCGGTCGGACGCAACAAGGGCATGTACGTGCTGCGGCCCGGAGCGATGTCGTGCGCAGAGGAGAGGCTACTCGTCTTCTTCGGACAGGCAAGTGTCGCTCTCACTGTCGCTCGCAGATTAACACGGCAGTGATCGTGGGGGTGATGATGATGATGATGTTTATGATTATGATGACGACGATGGTGAGGTGATGATGATGATGATGGTGATGATGATGATGATAATGATGTTGATGATATGATGATGATGATGTTGTTGATGATGATGTTGTTGATGGTGATGTTGATGATGATGATGATCAAACAGACAGCTGTGTTGTTGTTCTCTCTCACAGCTTCTGGGCATCACGGTGCGCGCCGACATTCCGCTAGCACTCGACATGCTGCCGGTGTTCTGGAAGGCCATACTGTGTTGCCACATCGACGTGAACGCTGAGCTACCAGAAGTAGACCTTCTCACCGACAAATACTGCAAGAAACTGCTCTCCGTGAGTGTGCGTGCGTGCGTGCGTGCGTGCGTGCGTGCGTGCGTGCGTGTGCGTGCATGCGTGCGTGTGTTCTCCGTGAGTGTGCGCGCGTGTGTGCGTGCGTGTACGTGCGTGTGTTCTCCGTGAGTGTGCGTGTGTGCGTGCGTATGTTCGTGAGTGTGCGTGAGTGCGCGTGCGTGCGTGCATTTCTTTCCGTGATCTCTATATAAGCGCACATATGGCTATGGGTGAACACTCAAGCCTAACAAGGGGGGGACCGACTATCTTCAGGGTGTGTGATTAAGCCATTAAAAATTTTCTGGGAGCCTAAAAATCGAAGTCAACCGGGATGCGGGAAAGCCGAAATTGTGTTTTTTATTAACCAGAAACTGGGAAATAGCACATTTTTTCACTGAAACACTTGGAATGGACCTCTTCCCCCCACACACACTCCCCCGTTCCTACCCCTCTTTAACCCACGTGAACAAACCACATCCAACTGTAATCACTATCTACTCTGCCATTTCTAGCTGGCTACGGAGCAGGACTTCAGTGAGATGTGTGAGCAGGAGGGTGGGCAGGTGAGGTTCGTGTACAGGACGTTGAGTGGAGATGAGGTTCAGCTCTGTCCCAACGGACATAACACCTTGCTGAGGTATAACACCTTGCTACAAGATTACGTTCGCCAGTCAACACACTGTCTTTTGTCGTTTTTCCTTTTATTTCTTTTAATTATATTTCTCTATCATATCTTAAATCTCATGTTCTTATCTTCAAATCTTTATCTTTATATAAACAGCATTTTAATTCTTGCTGTAATTTACAATTTATCGGGTTCAGTTTTATCGGGGAGATTAAAGTGCAATTATGATGGATGAAATCTTTTATTATTGTGCATAAGTTCGAGTGTTCAAACAGCGTTACTCGATGTTTTTCTAGTTTAGAAGTAAAGCTTTTGCTAATTATCAAGAGCTATTAATAATATTATTAGCTTTTATAATTATGTTTATTAATAATGTTAATTGCTTAATAATTAAGTCTGTTTATCTTGATAATGTAATAAAGCACGCTCTCTCTCTGTCAGTTGGCACAACAGGCAGCAGTTTGTAGAGGCAGTGTTGGGACTTCGTGCGACCGAGCTAACGAGCAGAGAGCGCGTCACTGCGATACGGGCTGGCATGGCTTCCATCATCCCTCTTCAGCTTCTCACGATCATGTCTCCAGCTGACATGGAGCTAAGGACCTGCGGAAAATTCTTTGTCAATCTCTCATTCCTCAAGGTAGTAGGGATTTTCGAGTTTGAGAGTTACGATGCCATTTTACTCGTGTTTTCCTGTTAACTGTGATTACACACACATTGTATGTTTGAATTGATATTGCTTGACATTGGTACCACGGTGGGGCAGCACAAGCTAGCAAGCATCATGAGATTGCATGCATGCGTGCTGGTATGTGTAAGTACGTGTGTGCATTCGTGCTGGTATGTGTAAGTCGGTGTGTGCATGCGTGCTGGTATGTGTAAGTACGTGTGTGCATGCGTGCTGGTATGTGTAAGTACGTGTGTGCATGCGTGCTGGTATGTGTAAGTACGTGTGTGCTTGTGTGTATGAATGCGTGCGTGTTTGCGTGCGTGCGTGCGTGCTAGTGTATGCTTGTGTGTATGAGTGCGTGCGTGCGTTGCGTGCGTGCGTGCGTGCGTGCGTGCGTACCTGCGTGCGTGCGTGCGTCCATGCGTGCGCTCGTGCCTACCTGAGTATGTGCGTGCGTGCATGCATGCTAGTGGTGCTTTGTGATTATTGCAGGCGCACACAGTGTATCAGGTCGGGCTGACAGAGGTTCTGCGTGCGTGCGTGCGTGCGTGCGTACCTGCGTGCGTGCGTGCGTCCAGAATGTGCGCGCGTGCCTACTGAGTATGTGCGTGCGTGCTATGCATGCTAGGTGGTGCTTGGTATTATGGGGCAGCGCGCACTCAGTGTAGTCAGGTCGGGCTGACAGAGTCTGTGGCGTGCGTGTGTGCGTACGCGGCGTGCGTTGCGTCGCGGTGTCGTACCGCTGCGTGCGCTGCGTCGTGCGTAGCGTGGTCGTGCGTGCGTGCGTCCATGCGTGCGTGCGTACGTGCGTGCGTGCGAGAGTGTCAGTGGTGCTCGCACGGCTGCTATGTGATTGTTACAGACACATACCATGTATCAAGTCGGGCTGACAGAGTCTGACAAACACATCGAGTACTTCTGGAACGCGCTGGAGCGGTTCTCGCAGGACGAGCTCTGCAAGTTCGTCAAGTTCGCGTGCAACCAGGAGCGCATCCCGATGATGTGTCCCTGTAGAGACGGCAGCCAGGAGACGGCGCACGTGCCGCCGTACCCGATGAAGATAGCACCACCTGACGGCAGAGCAGGTACGATCGTTGTCTCGATTATCGGTCGTGCGTAAACGACGGCGGGGTAGGTGAGTGAGATGGGAGAAGCGTGTGGTGACGATAGCATGTCACCATATAGATGTCTAATACAGCAGACGTAGCGTCGCCGTTGCCATTGGCGATGATGTTCACTTGTTATCACGGTTGTTGCCGTCGCAATCAGTACTGATGTTCTCTTGTTTATTACAACAGTGCCATTAGCACTGGAATTCACTTCTTTTTTTTTATAATGGGTTTGTTTTTTAATGTTCACTTGTCTGTCGTGATGGTGCAGTCGTCGTCAGCGCTGACGTTCTCTTGTTTTGTCACGTGCAGGTTCCGCGGACAGCCGCCACGTGCGCGTGGAGACGTGCATGTTCATGGTGAAGCTGCCGCAGTACTCCTGCCAGGAGGTGATGACAGAACGCCTGCTCGCCGCCATACACTCCCGCGACGACCCCCTCAGCGGCTGATGCCGGCGCCCCCTGACGGTGCGGCCTGCAGCGGCTGATGCCGGCGCCCCCTGACGGTGCGGCCTGCAGCGGCTGATGTGAAGGCGGGGATGGCACCACTGCACGGAGGATTCTCACGTCGTCAATAGTCAAAATGTCACTGCACTTGATTTAGTGAATTTTAACTGGGACCTGTCGGTGCGCAGGACAGTGGTCTATGCAGCAGGTGCTTACGTCACAGGATGCACTCGTGTAATTAATTGACCTATTTACGTGCCGTGATTGATTGACAGGCAGCTCTAGCCAAGCACTGTTGTGATACGACGTTCTAAATGACAATGCTTAGCAACAAAATGCTGCAAAGGCGACATTTCTAGCGTCAAGTCTAGCTTCACAGATCTAGCAGCAATAGGGGCAAGGTTGTCTTGCGCAGACGGATATAATAGGCCAAATATTCGTCAAATGAGAGATTTATCCAAGCACGGTTGAATGCACTATGCGCGTGTCAATGTCACGTGATTGCGCGCGGACGAGTTGGTGGCCAAAGACGTGAAATTAAATGGTTTTTTTGCAAGATTGTTTTAAATACCCGTCTAGGTTACGTTTCGTTGCAAGTGTCTGTATGCAATTCGTTATATATATATATATATCAAGAGTCCGTAATAGAAAATCTTTTCTATTATGGACTCTTGATATATATACACACACATAGTGAGTGATGCACAGTGATATTTCAATCCGACAAACTTGTGTAAATTGTGAAATCTGTGTTTATTTTAACCCGACAAACTTGTGTACATCTGTGTTGACGACAGCATTGAAGTTGCGTAAAGAGTTCATTTTAGCGTCGGGTTCTCTTACACAGAGATTCAGTCATTTGTCATGCGCCAGTCGTAGATGATGGGGGGAGGGGGGCGGGTTGTTCTGAGTTGTACTAATACTCTCTCTCGCACGTTTGAAACCAGAGACTTGAACCGTGAGCCCGTGTATTGAATCTCGGCAGCAACATATCTAGATATCGGTTATAGATGCGTTTATGTATTATATATATATATATATATATATATATCTCAGTTATGAGCACGTTGATCGTATGTTGCTGCTCTTTTGTTGTCACG